TAGAATAGTCTGCATTGCACATTTAAAAGATATTAGTGGGAATGGACTGGTGGCATCATTAACAATCAGTTGCTCAACTTTGTACCCCAATGTAAAGCTACAGCTTTACTAGATTTTAACTGTTTGATTTGCAGTTTGCCATTATGACTGTCTGCCTTGGGGCAATCTGTATGAGGAAACTTCAGGAAAAACAGTCCAGTCATTTCTTAAAAGAGCACTGCAGAATGAGTACTTCTTGTGGCAGCTGAAGTTACAAAAACAGGTTCCTTGGGACTGTCTCATGTGTGGTTTCCCTGGTGTTGTATGACTTTCTTCCTTCCCCTTAATGGAGGCACTGATTTGGGCTTCCCTCCTCTATCAGTGCATTCAATTTCTAAAAATGTGCCAGACTGGAACAGCTCAGGGTCCTTCACCCTTCTGAATTGGCCCAAGTCAATTGGGGTGATGGGACAGAAGTTGACAAATGCTGAGACGCACAGTATAATCACATCAGAGTAAAATACCACTTTCTCAGGAAAAACAAACAAACAAACAAAAAAACACCCCAGGCTGAAAGGAGACACACTTACTGCCAGATACACAACCTAAAAGTCCACATCAACTTTACAGATCATATCGGCAATAAGATCTGCAGGGACATGAAAGTGGCAGGGAGAGGCAGATAGCTTCTATCAGGGGCGTGACTTGTGCTTGCTCAGGTTTGGGCAAGACAGGAGTGGTTTATATTTACTTTGTACTTGGATGCCTGCAAGAAAACCACCACTAGAATCTTTGAGGGTGCTACTGGGTCTTTGGGAGAGTGGAGTGCAAAAAGTGCTGTTTTCCTGAAATTGTAGCACTTTCCTGCTGCAAACCACATGGGGAAGAAAGCTTCTGCTGCCTAGACAAGGAGTAAAGGAGAGCCTGCTTGAATCAGAAGGGGCAGTGAGCAGTGCCAGGTCAGTTAGGCAAGGGGATTATACTGAAACTTTTTGCCAGATGTTGACAAGGACATTTGAGTTAGGAAAGATAAAGGGAACAAAATAGAGAGGGAAGGGGGTTTGACACAATCTGTGGTGCAGAGATGAACCATGAGACTGTGAATGAAATGAAGGGCCTGAGAAATGAGTCAGAGGAGAGAGCAGAGAGCAGAAATAGATGAAAGAATTTAGGGGGAAAGCCTCTGTGCCTGGCAAGGCATATTGCTGGGAATGAAACTCAAGATCCCTGGCTCAGCATTTCCCTGCTGCCAGCAAGCATCCACAAAAATGTTGTTGTAATGCTAGGGCTCCTTGAGGATGGTAATCAATTATTAAAACTATTCTTTTATCTTTGTGGCTGAACTTTTGTTTGCTCACTAGCCTGGAGGTTTGGGGCAGGAGGACTGGGAACTGCGCTGAAAGATGGCAATAAAGAACGAAGCGCTGCACTGACAGGAAGTTTCAAAATTCAGGTTGCCCATGGGATCTGAACTCGCTCCCCTCCCATTTAGAGGTAAGTATAAAGATACAAATCTTTGCCACAGGATCGGCTTACTCCCAAAGTAAACCAAACTGCATTTCTTTGACAAACAGATTTTCAGTACTTTGTCTCATAATTCTCCACGTGGCTCCATGCCTCGCTGGCTGCTCATTGATGAATTCTCATTCTGAATAATGAATTAGCAACTCTTTCTATTTATGCTGTTCATCACTGGAATACACAAGTATGCACAGATCCACAACAGTAACAGCTTTTAGTCATGTAGCCAATTTTTAACTTTTTCATTTATTACTCTGAAAGTAAAGCTTCATTTCCCAGGTAGCTTGTGTAAAGTGCATACCCTCATGGGTATAAATTTACAGTCCAAAGATCTGACAACAAGAATACTAAGAACTAATTTATCTGGATTTCTGTTTTTATGAAGTCATCTAAGAAGTCGTAACAGGGAATAGGATTCCGTGAGAAATACGACACAAATAAAAGTAGGGAGACCATCACTACCTCATAGGACCTGGAGAGCAAGATGACAAGACAGGCAAACTAATATGCACGGAAAGAGAGGCAGAAAAAGATAAAGCTATTAGTTCTAATCCAAGAGCTAATTTTTCTAAGTCTCACTCCAGCTTCTATCCATTCACTCTCTTCCACACAGCCACAGAGTTCTTTTAATGACTAGGATTAACAAAAATTGATGCTTATGCCCTGCACAGGAAGCTGTATTATCCCCAATTTACAAAAGAGGGAAACTGAGGCATGAAGCAACCTCATTTCTTCTCTCATCTAAGCAGAGGGCGGGGACTGAAGGCAGAGCTGTTCCTTTGTTTCCTCACCAGGAAAGCAATTACCTTGCATTTTGCTAGAACAGAATGTTGAGATTCTTTGGTAATTTTTGTTCCCAGGTGCTGCATTTCTTTGGAAACTCACCTTTTTAAGATACCGTAAAAATGCTGACTGCTTTTAAAAACTCCATTTTACTTACCTGCCTTTTACTGCGTTAACTGTTTCTATGGAAACTGGAACTGGTCATGAAGCAGTCCTACAACATGAATTCTCACTTGCCAGTTTTACATTAAAGTGCCACCTTCAAAGTCCTTTATTAAACCACTAATAATTGTGTTGCTTAACGAGTTTTCCAATTAAACAAAAGAAGAAAGCGTGCTTTCACTGAATGTTCTGCACAATATTTTGTAGGTGTGGTCTAAGAATTTTAACAGTGTGCACGATATGACTCTCTTGGTTAAGGATATGATCTTTAAACAGAGAGACAGTTTATTAGCAGTAAAAGCCCTAGTGTGTGTAGTTAGACTTACATAAAGGTGACTTATACCAATATGGGTATGTCTAGACTGCTGTCACAGAAGCACACTGTAGAGATACTGAGATACTACAGTGAGCTCTGTGCTCCTACAGCTCGCTGGGGTACCTCTGTGCAGGCATATGCATGTGGTATTCCCTGTAGGTACGAGAGGGAATGCTCTCAACCAGAGTAAGTGTGAGTCTGTGTTGGGTGGCTACTGTGGAAAAAATAAAGCATGCAAGCTTAAGACACAACCATTTCATACAGTTATTCAGAATTAGAATCCATGTAGCTCAAGTCTAGGCTCCTCCATCACCTTTACCTTAACCTTTCACTCTCGTAAAAACTCTAAGATCCCCTGTGTTCATTTTACTTACTTTCCTGAGTCAACTCAAGTGAGAAAAATCCCTTTTTCCTGTTCTTGGGGAGCAATCGCCAACAGAACACACCCTTCATCACAAGAGTAGAGCATTGCCAGCAAGGATCAACTTAAAAACTTCCAAGGACAGGTTCTATCCGGAGTAACCTATCTGTGTTTCCTGAGATAAGTTCCTCTCACCTCATCTCCAAGGCTTTGCAGCTGATCAGTGCTTTTAAATTGCAACAGGGGCAGGACTGATGCAAACACAAGTGTCTGCTCTCTCTACCTCCAAGCATAGAAAATCAGTGGACAGGGATTTTAGGCAAACTTTACACAAAGAAATACATCTAAAACACAGGAAGTGCAGCCTCAAAGTCAGAGGCAACAGAAATTGCATGTGTGACTATACAAACTGCAAAACACACAGATAAAATCCTATTTTGGTATGAATTCATTTAAAAAAGATTCTAAAGAGCAACATGATCTCCAAACTTTCTTTTCCTCCCAAAACTCATCCAAGCCCACACACTTGGCTGACACCCCCAGGAGAACCAGGGTCTTTCTTCTAACTTAAGAGAGAAGATCACCTTTCCTACTGAGCTAGAAGCATTCCTTTAACCCTTTCCCAGCAAAACAAGCTTCTGCTAATACAGAACTTTTCAAGAAAATGGCCAAGCCACTCTTTTAAATTAGATGCCATGCTCTTCCACATGGTCCAAAACATCGCACGCTTTCCTTTAAAGTATCGTCAAGCTCATGCCAAATAGGCAACTTACCCATATGTACTGCTTGATTATGGAAAACTCCTGAAGTGAGTTTGAATTTAGGAATTAATATTCCAAGCTACTTCTTCCATAGATAGCCCTTGCTTTTAAGCATCACTTCAAACTGATCAGTAATCAGAGCAGGAATTTAAAAAGCAAATCTCCCCAGTGGCCAACCAGACCTTCTCAGAGGCATTAATTAAAGTTGCAACTTCCCTCAATACCAGTGCACTCAGAAGCTGCCTTCTTTTCCTGATTTACAGAGATATTTATGGGGGTAGAGGGTGGGGAACAAACACTCTACAATTCTTCCTTAATCCTCTTCTATTTCCTTCTGCACAGCTACATCCTTCAGGACCTGTTCAGGGCCCATATTAAGATCTGACTAGAAGGTACCCAACTCAAAACAGAGCAGTAATGTATGGAGCAGGGCAGCCCACAGGGAAACCAACTATTGAGTCCTGCACCAAGTAGGGAATTTACAGCAAATGAATGATTCATACATAGTTTTCTACTATGAACAAATTTACCACCTCTTTAAGGCCAGAGTTTTCCACAGGCCTCTGAATGCAAATGCCAAATATTTTGTCATGCCTTTTTCTTAGCCTATATGTCTCTACAGACAGGGCTTGGAATGAGGCATATAATATAACAAACCAGAGACCTGGCACACATGGGGCTCCTCACTGCCTTTCCTCATGCATATGGTTTATTTTTCCCAGCTATGTCAATCCTTATAGGGCTTTACCACTACATCTGCCTCCTGGGAGTCTGCAATTGCAACTCTTACAGGGAAGGTGCAGAAGAAAAAAGGATACATTTAATCTTCTCTACTCTTTTCAAGCTAAAGGTCTCACTTCTACACCATTAATTAAACAGATTAATTAAACAGACAAGCCCCTGCAGCAGCAAGCCCCCTCCAAGGATAAATACCGAACAGCTCCGTTTTTTGAACTGTTTCACATAACAGAGCTGTGATTATTCCAGATGAAACATCTCGCATGGTAACCTTCTTTAGGCCAGTGTTTACATCTATGTCTTGTGTTCCTCGGCAAGCGCAGCTATGGGTAGCATTTTACCCCAAAGGTGACAAAGAATAAAAGACAAAAGGCAACAGTGCTCTTTAGCAGTGACTTTTCTTTACAGCCCACCAGATGTAAATATGAGGATGGCCAATGTCTCATCTTACTCCAAGGAAAGAGCCCAGTTTCTTTTCCAGTTCCCCTGCTGTATTAGAATGTCCAGAATCAGTCTGATACAGCTCTCACTAGGAATAGCAAGGAAGTCAACAAGAATATTAAAACAAGTATTTAAACAACTTCTCTGAAGCTGGACAAAACCAGCATTTGGAGAATCAGAAGGCTCTTTTTTATCCCCTATCTAGATCATATCAGCTAATAAAAGCTTTTTGGAGTCACTCAACGTCTCCTTCTTCTCTCCTCCTGAATGGACCAGAATGAATGTATCCTGTCTTTTCTCTTTAAAATGCCATATAATATCCTTCCATAGTGCTGACAACATCACTGTTACTCTCCAGCAGTTCCAAGACACGGTGCATCACCACTTCAGCCAAGGAGGGGTTGTAGCTTTGCCGAACACAATTTAGGACATGAAGGAAATGGCAGCCTTTTTCAGCATCTACAGGGAAAAAAGGGAAAATTCAGCCAGGCATGGAGGAAAGACTTCGATCTGCCTCTTTTGAACTATTATAATCCAGATCAGTCCTGAAAAAACAGCCTAGATACTAAAGCAGAAGTGTGTGTATTCAGAGGGAAGAGATCCAGTCTGTGCCTACAGTTCTTCAATTATCAGCTGTCTCCACTGACTTTTCTGGGAAGTGTCAGGGCTGCAGCAGTAGTAATGAGGGTTAAAGTCTCAGTCTTGTCAACTGTAACATATAAAAGTCATTCAGTAGACTTGAAAATGAGGTCAATAACGTAAGAGTACCAAGCTATCCAGTTTATGCAGCTTCACAAGGACTCAAAAGAGAATAATTTTGTTCATACCCAACTTCAAAACTCTTTAGCACAGCAGGGAGGTGGGAGGTATGCGGCTAGGACCTGTAACCGCTTGCCCAACGCTGGCATCTTGTGGAAAAACTGCTGCAGTGCAACTTCCATTCACCTCAGTGCGATCCGTCCCTGCCCTTCAGGCTACTCAGACAATTACTGAAGTAGAACGTCTCAGACCTTCAGTATCAAATTTTATCTCCTTTTAAGAGGAATTAGCCGTGAAATGTACAAGAGAACAGAAATTTTAAATTAACACCCTTTCCTATGGGGCAAGCACAGAGGTCCCCAAAGGCTGCACAAAGCTACTGTGTACCAGGTGGAGCTGTGATTTGAAGCTGTCATTCGAAGCTGTTCCAGTCAACATTTCCTCCCACAGACCCTGTAACACACTAATCATCCGTGCTGCAGGCTCCCAGTCTCTCCAAGTGCTGAACTCCACAACACATTTCTCCTCGGTGGCTAACAATGGAAAACAAACATAAACGAGACACACCAACACAAATTATTTTCCTTCTCCTCAGCCCTCAGCTCATGTGATGCAAGGCAAGTTTGATAAGGGTACTGAGAAATTGCTATGGGCTAGGGAGGTCCCTATATTTTGTTGTTGCTGCCTTTGATTTTTTTTTAGTTATTCTCTACTCTAGAATCTGCTGAGCCCCAGAACTGCCTTAGAAGCTGCTGAAAAAAAGTCACTTGTAGATAGTGGTAAATAAACAGTTCAGCCTAATTCCTATTAGACTGTGGATCAGGCAGAAATACTTCTTTAGAAGTTAGTGATCCAGCATGATAAAAGGCCTTTGTGGCTGACAGCCAAAATGTGTCCACCACCCTAGGAGAGGTAAGTACAGAGAACAGAACAATGCCTCTAGCTGGTCATAGTGACTGTTGTTGCAAACAAGGTGGGTAACCACATTTTACATTTGTCATAGGTTTGTCATAAGAAGGTCGAAGTGCCCATCCCTGATCTACAGTAACTTAAGTTTCAATGAATTAATTAGTGACTCAAGTGTTACCCAACAGTGCAATACATACTTTCCTCCTAGATGGCACTTAGGGGTAGCTGCAGGTGTTTACAGTCATTAAGTAGCTCAGAAACACTCCTAGTCTGCAGCCCAGCTTTGAGGGAATACACTCCTTACAGTGGAGTCGTACTGTCCCTCTTTCACAGACATCTCGGGTTCCAACTTTTGTCCAACAGCTGAGGTAAGCCAGGCTGCCATTAACTGTTGTGCCTGACAACCAACATCAGGGGCTGCAGAGTTACAGAACAACTATCATTTGCCCACTGTGGACATCTCACACAGGGTACATGCTGACATATTAAATTTAACTTCGAGTGGTTCTGGTTTTTTGTCCTCTCTACTATCAGCCTGATCTAAGCCTAAAACCATGGCAAATTTATAAAAAAAAAAAATAAATCCATTTTGCAGTTCAATCTGGAGTCAAAATGCACTGTCTGCTGTCTGGTTATCTTAAGCTTCTAGATGGACCCACAGTGGCCTCATGTGAGGGCATTTAAGATCAGGCTGTTTGGAATTATAAGTGGAGCCAAGAACTAGGATTGTCATGTAGGCACATTATGGATCAGGGTTTGTGGAGCTCTCAGTAGGCACACTTCAGATTTTTTTTTTATTATTTGTACAGTAGTTCCATACAGCTGGGTTGGGCCTGAGAACGTGTCACAACTAAAGCAATGGAGTGAGGCGTTGCCTGGAAAACTGGCAGAGAAGTAACTCAATGGAGAGAAGAGTTTGGTTTATCATAAATCAGCCTTCTTGTCATGGAAGATTACTACTGCTCTTGAAGGAAAACAGGTGGGAACTTCTTGCAACAAGCAAAAGCCCCTGAGGTATATGCCGGTGTCCTTATTTTCTCCCTGGGAGCCCAGCTGGGATTGCCCTCCTGCCAGCAGAGGGGGGCCGGCAGCCACACTGAGCTCCACGCTCTTGCATCATTCAGAGACAACAAATACCCGCAGTGCCCTGCTGGTTTCGACTGAAACTTCTTGACTTTTCTTCTATCACCAGTGACCAGGTCATTGAAAGGGTCCTTCTGAAAACCAGCAAAGGGACACTGACCTGGAAATTGTTCTCTTTACAGCAGGAAACTAAGTAGGGGGAAAACTTCAAGGAGAACAAGAGGCTCAGTTAAGCAGTTGCTAATTTTAACCTGCTTAGTATGGAAAACATGGCTTTGAGGACTCAGGACTCTTCAAAGTCTTTTCTGTGACTGATCTAGAAATTCCTCTCTTTTGTTGACTCCTCCTGACTGAGAGAACTTCCCAACCTCTCATGGATCACAGAGTACTTTACCAGTGTGACAATGCACAAGAGGAGAGCACCCAGTGCCCTGTGCCAACTGTATGCTGAATCTGGTCTTGATAGTGGCACAGATATATTAAAAAAAAACAAAACAAAACAGGTTACCAGGAGAACTAGATGATGTATAAAATGGGCAGAGGAATAATTTGACTCTTAATGATGTTTGTATTTGTTAATTGGATAAAAGATAATAAAACAATGTGATATGGTAATTTGTTGCATTGAAACAGCCTAAGGCAAATGAGCCCATCTTAACCTGCATGCCCAGTAACCTCAACTCCCTCCATCCCCTTAGGATACAAAGACCTTTCACCTCCACCCCAAACTTTGTCTACAATTGTACCATTTTTTAAGATAGCCAGTTGAAAACTCCAATATAATACTGCTTCGCTTAGCCTTTTTTCACAGCAGGATAACCATCGTGCACCAGGTCCTACAAGCACTACTATGTTAGTATAAGGATATGAGCAATTTAAGATTATATGCCTTATGTTCTACTCAGTCATTATTCTGTACTGAAGCACATTCTGTCCCACAAATAGCTGCACTCCAGCAGCAAGTGATCCCTGCTGACACATTCTGCCCAATGAATTGAAAGACACTGTAGCAATGTACCTGTGTAATTAGCAGACATTCCAGTCAAGCACAAGTTATCACTATGGCAATAAGACACAATAGGTTTGAGGGACAGGGATAACTCAGAAGCCACTTGAGTACATTATCTGAAAATAAGTGGACTTTGTTTGACTGAAAGCTCTACCTGCAAAGAACAACCACCTGAGCTCTACCTGAGTTTAGAATCTGTAGAGAATATCCTACTGACTTAAACAAGTTTTATTGTTGACTTAATGGAGGCGGGGACTTACCCTTTCTGCATGGTCACTTTTGTGTCAACTCCCCTGAAGAAACTGAACCAGCAAGATTTGCTACTTCTGCAGAGTGCAATGCAACAGCTGCTAAGTGGTGACCTAACTTCATTGCATTTGGTTCCTCCCAAAACCTAAGTATTCTCAAAAGATACAGATTAAAGATAAAGACTGCTTATTTCAGATCTGAGAGGTTTGCTTCCTGCTGGGCACACAGGCTCTTCCTCTCCCCACGCTCACAGGAAGCTGCTCCTGCACTCCAGCTTTCAGCTGTACTGATGGTCTACACCAGCAACAGCTCCAAGTCCAGAGGTAAGGACAAACAGCATACCTAATCCAGCAGCAGGAGGAGATACTGTCATCAGTATATCAGCACCAGCTCCTCAGAGCCCTGATCACTGATACTTACGCCTGGGTTTTCGACAGTCTTCTTTAATCACATCAAGGGTCACTTTAAGCAGTTCCTTATCATGGTCAGTCACCTGGAGAAAAAAGAAGAAACTGGTGATTTATAGCAGCCTATTTCACAGTACATGGCCTGGCTGTTGAAAAGCAATCCGAGGACATGATGTATTCTAAGCTAACACTGTCATAACTACAGTCTGCATTATACACTGCCTATAAGACAAATAATAAACATCAAATCTTCAGTTATTATTTGATTACTATTAGCAGCATCCATAAGTTAGGTGAACAATGTGATACAACAGAATTCAACCCAAAGGAGGCTGGCTGACTCAGTAGGACACCAAGCTTTAACACACTTCAATAAGAACTGTCCCAGGTCCCAGGTTTCAGTGAGCTCAGGTGCGTCAGTGCAGTTTGGCAAGCCAGTGAACTTGGAACAACAACTTGGTGGGTTATACAAAGGTAAAACCAACAGTACTGCAGATAAGAGTAAATGGAGAGCACTTGGATGTCCAGCTTCTCTTTCTGAAACATTTCTACTTTTTCTGCAATATTTCTACTGTTTCTACTGACTATGAAAGTCATACCCCTGAACTTGTTTACAACCACAGCTCAGTTCCTTACGTGGTATAAGTCCTTGGAGCTACCAGGTTTCTGGAAAACCACTCCTTTTTCTTGTAGCATCTTTATTGCTTCCTTAAAAACATTGTGAATCCTTTTGGAACTGGAGTTACCTTTTGACTTCACCTGGATGGGAAGAAAGAAATGAAGCAGATGGTGAGAGATCTCAGCTCAACTAAAGTTACAGCAAAAGCTCCAGATGCTTTCAAGAGAAAGAGGACTTCAGGTCCTCTTTAATGTGAATTTTGTTACATATTTTTCTTCATTTAGTAATTCACAAGTCATATCTGTTATGTATGAACTAACCAATACCCATGAGCTTTAAACAAAACCTGAACACCAGAAGCTTGTCCATTTTTAAGGAATCACAACCTCTAAACTTCTTTCTTTGTATTTAGCAGCTATTTGATTATGTACTAAGAACTCCTTCTTGGAATATGCTTGTGATGCTTGCAGAGCATTTGACTATTTATCTAATCAAGCTTTTTTCAAATTCAGAGTTTTCCTTGTAACAAGGGTAGAAAGGTAGGAAGATCAGTGTTTTGTAAGGTGATATTCAGGAGGAATCTAAGTGCTGAGGACTAGATTCCCATCTCCCAGTTTCAATCAGGGAAAGGAGAAAATTGAAAAAACCAGTATTTTTTCCTTGTTTCCAAATTTGTATAAACATTCTGGCCATGATCTCAGTAGCTTCTCCACAGCCTAGTGAAGTGAAAGGACAAAGAGCATGCAAGAAATTAAGACAGGTATATGAGATAAGAGAACAAAGGATTCAAGTTTTGAGGAGAGGTGGGAAATGAGCTCTTGACAATGTGCCTGGATGTCCATAACTGAGGAGGTTATTTAGAACACAGGGTTCTGTGTTTGGGACACATCTAACAGAGTAGGAAGGAAGCAGAGGGAAAAAAAAGGGAAAAGCAGGGTTTGTTTGAAAGTAGGGCAGAGCTTTGACACTGGAATGACAGCTAAGGAAGAAGAAGGAAATAAAGAATCAGTTGTGGAGAGGGAAAAGTATAGGTAGATGATTTACTCTTCTCCATCTCCATCTGCCCTGCTCTATCCTTCAGCCTCCCATTTATCTACACAGACTGCTTCAGTTCCTCAGTTGTTTTCTCATCTGTTGGGAGCACACTGTGCTCTCTGTGGTTTTCTTTGAGAAGAGAGTTAAACTGCTTCCCACAAGCCAACATGAGATAACTAGAACCACACCAGAGCAACCAAAGCAAGATTTGCCAAGCCATTTCTTCAACTATCACTGTAATTGCTCCCACTCTGTTCTGAGCAAAAGTATCAGACTTCACATATCCTACTTCACTCACCAGAAGCACTCAGAAGCCTTGGAATAAAACAGGCAACCACCACCACTAGAATGAATTCACATGAATATGCAAAATGGACACCACATCAGCAATGGAAGAACATCTTTTCACAAAACATTAATTCAATACATTTGCAATTCTCAAGTAACACTCCAACTGCCTCTAAGCCCAGAAGCTGATGTACCTAACTGGGAATAGTTCAGACATCTCAAAGGGATATTGGTGTTAGCATGCATCACAAGTTTCTCCATTCCCTTTGTCCAGCTAATCCTCAGTATTTCAGCAGGCCATAATCACATCTCTCTCTCTGTCCCACAACCGATAACTCTTTTTCCTCTCAAATCAGCAGTAAAAACTAATTGCCTAACAGTTCAAGATAATTAACATAGAAGAATGGCTAATATTCTCAGTTCACTTTTCTCTGTTTCAGACTGAAGGACTTTGTCTGTCCTCCTGTCTACCACAGCTATCAGTCTGGATAACAACAGGCTTCACTTCTAACTACAAACTTGACCATGCATCTGGACACCATTCCAGTTACAGCATTAATACCACTACCATATTCCTCTTCATAGTCCCTCTTCTGATGAACTGAAGAAACAAACATAAAATGTAGCAGGAAGGATTAGGTGAAGAGTGAACATTTTCTCATGGAAAAGCACATTCTTGTAGCCCTATGTAAAATGAAGACACTTCATACAACTAATATTCTAGCTTCATTCCCAAGAATCAGTGTTAATGCCTCCACTCTTTTTAAAGGTTATTATTGTCTGTCTCAGCATATACTGCTTTTCAACCTTTTCAAAAGTGTGGGGAAGTCCCTGAAGTACTTTCTGAGGATTAAGACCTCTATTACTTTGTCCCCATCTGTGGAATTTACTCTTTCACATCCTATCCTAAGCACTGGAAAAACATTCTGCTTGTTTTATACTGCCTGATCTTCAGCTTTGTTTTTTCACCTCACAACAACTTCTCATTCAAATGCAGTAGTAAATCCTCAAGAATGTAAGAAATTGCTAGCAAAGCAACCAACTCAAGACTCTGATCAATTTTTAATGTGAAAGCAAACATTTGGGGAGAAAAAAAAGATAAAAATATCTCCAAAGAAGCACAATAATTATTCAGTTTGGCTTAACACTGAGATCCTGTCAGAAAAGAGAGATAATTAAAAACAGACTCTGTGTGAACTGACACACAGCTCAGCCTGGATGGATACTGAAACAGAATCACTAAGAATGCAAGTCAGGGCAATGACAGAGAGAAGGCAGCGAGGCCTCATAATAAGTAAGCAGCTGCTACATATCAGCACCCTCTCATATGTGCTGCAGAGTCCATGCAAAGGGGCTCCATGGCAGAAGGACTGTTCCTGAAAAACAAATGAGGGCTCCTGCCCACTTTAGTATTATTATATTATGTATTCATATAATAATATTATATATTATTGAGTTTTAATATTATCATAAAATGACAGGAAAAATTTGGGATTTTTTCCTAGTATGCTTTAGAATATGCTTCCTCCTCTACATTTGTCTTATCACTAAACTGAGCCCTCATTTCCTCTGGACTTGGATCCCACTCAGATTCAACGTACACCCCAATTTGTGATTTCGTCTACTAAGTAGATATCTGCAGGAGACTGAACATGAGGCTATACACAGAGAGAAGAAATTTAGAACTATGAAATCCTAAGTGATTTCACATCCCTGCTTACTCAGGGGTAATTCCTTCCGAGTCACAGCCTATTAGCCATCCCTTTATTTTCACAAAGCTTTCATCTCAGAAATGCAGATATTAGGTAGTTTAACTGCCAATCCAAAGCACCACCAAGATTTGAATCTGAATTTCAAATGTACCTCTCACAATGTTCACACCTCATTTTGCAAAGTGCCCCTTTTGGGCATGCCTTAGATTTCTTAGTGCACCATTCCAGGTTCTCTGAAGTACTAACAACTTCCCCCCCACCCGAAATCAGGACCTCTTCAAATAAACTAGGTTGTACATCCAAACACAGGAGTGTTCAAAAATCAGTCATCACTTTTACAAAACACATGTTTTGTGTGTGTGTGTCTTGAGATAGAAGCAGCTATTAAATAATAATTTTACCTTCCCTACCCTCACTCCCAAGACCAGCCAACAACTCTGTAGCAAAGCCAACAGAAGAATCTATGTATCCAGAATTAAGTTAGTATTTTAATCAATATATTCCATTGGATGGTTCTCACACAGCTTAGTGGGCTGGTGCTGTACAACCAGTTATTCTCAGATCTTTAAAACAAGACAAACTCTCTGTACAATCAATAGTAGGTCAAAGAAATGAAGTGGTACAGGAATTAGTCAGTCTGTTCAAAACACTAAAAGTATGTAACCTTTGACTCATAATGAATCACAACACACCCTGATGGTGTTAAAAGTTTCCTGGTATAACCACACACATGATTCCACTCCTGGAATCGCCCTTTGCAATTTGTCATCAGGTGTTTAATCCTTGGCTTAGGCAGGTGACAATTTTAGTAATAGTGATTCTGGACATGTCAGTCCTGAAGTCCTATAATAAGCTTTGCAATATACATATTTAAAGCAGCAGTGAAGCTTCCTCAAGAGGCAGAAAGACAAGCACATAGCATTAAGAACATATATGCACTGTGTTACACCTACAATGTACAGGGTATATACAGCAAGTGTGAACAACACTGTTCAACTCCCTGCTTTAAGTACTTGGCATTGCTGACCTTGAGATAATATTCAAATCAGGAGAAGTGCAAACAGCACAGTCTGGAAAGCACAACCCAAGTTATGTGTCCAAGTGCCATACACAAACTGGAACAGTAACACTAAAACAGCACATGCTACAGCTTATGCATGAAAGAATTGTATAAAAATGGCTAATCGAGACGGGCTGGTTGCAAATATTTAACTCAGTTGAGAAACTGGATGGGTCCAGTTCACACATAATTTTCTTTAAAAAAGGAACCAAAGGCTTGTCCATTTGCCAAACAGAATTGCCTAAGTCCAGTAAGTACACTCTGGAGGTTCTCTAAGCACTAAATTACTTTTTCTGGTTTTGCTTGTAGTCTTCCTTCTGGTACCCATCCCTCCAGTCTCAAAAGTCATTTGTTTTAAGGGATAAGGAAAAGGCTATAGCTTAGGGATAGACAGGGCACTAGTTATGCAAAATAAAGCTCCACTGACTTTAAAGATTGTAACAGATTTGTTAATTTTTAACCATTTTTAAAAACACCAGGCCTTTCAATTCTCTTACCCATCCTCTGTAGACTATAAAATTAAATTTTCCCTAGTATCTGTCTGAGAAAGGGACATGATTTGAGTTCTGCCATGTGCACCTGTTAAGAGGGAAATTTATTCTGAAAAGCCAGAAGACTGCACTGGTGGGGAGCCATTAAGACTGGAACTAGGTATTGTAGGACATGTATGGGATGTGGACAGGGCTCAGACACAGTAATGCTTAAAAGGAACAGAGAGATGCTTCCTACCTCAAGCTATCCCAGCTACCTCCTTCCATCTTCGCTCCCTGCTCCACTCCACTGCCAGTGACTCCACAGTAGCTCACCACCTCCCTGGAGAAAATATTCCATGGGGAGATACCCTCCCACTACGATGAACACTGTGCAAGTATTTTAAAAGCTGGGAAAGAGATGAAGGGGCTGCACCACATCTACTAGGATCACAAGGAAAGGAAGAGAAAGGCAACAAATAGTTTAACAGTAACTGTGCTCTAGAACACTGGAATTGGGGTAAAAAAAAATTAAAGTTATACATCCAAATAACTCATCCTTTCACATCCAGGTAAAGTGCAAGAAGTGAACAAGTTGCATATTGTCATGTGGCCTAATTAGTTTGGTCCACCCATCTAGCTCCTGCCCTGCCAATTAGGCATGAAATAACATTGTTCCACATCAGCAACACCATTTATCCTTTTGGTTTGAGGGCAATGCCAAACAAAAGACTACAGAAGTGAAAAGAAAAGAAGAGGGACAGGAATCAGATCTATTGCACTTATTTTCATGGATTGAACTGGGTACTTGACCCTTTGCCAATTATGAGAAATGACACTTTCTAGAGGCAGAGTAAAGGAACAACAAAGTGCATTTCCAGAGCATTACTAGGCACTCCTTTTAAGGCACTCAGGCCACTTGACAACTGCAGGTCCTTTCTTATGCAAAGACAGATAAGCCTCTTTGGAAGAAATTAATACCAAAGGGCAACAGAGAGAACCACAATTTCTAAATAAGCATCTGTGTGCCCAAATTCCTGGGACATACATTCACGCCCTTGCATCGGGGTCAGGAACAACTATTAATTATTACAATAGCTCTTCATGAATGCTAACAACACTGATGCTATATTGCTGTTCTTGGTTTGGGTTTTTTCATGGTTTTTTTTTTTTTCCTTTTTTTTTTTTTTGGTTGGTTGGAATTTTGTTTGGTTTGGATTTTGTTGGGTTTTTGTTTTTTTTTCTGAGCCTTTCGATGTTTGTTCTGCACCAGCTCCTACTTTAAATGGCTTTGCAAGTTTTTTATCTTGATCTTTCTATAAATGCTGAAACTTCTAAGATGGAAGTTTCCAGTATTGGTCATAATGACCACTACTTCCTTTAATGTAAAGTGTTTGGGAACTTTTAGTTCTGTTCCAGCTAGTTTAGGAAGCACCCTATTCTATGTTGGATATTGTAGTATCAAACTTTTCTGTCAAAAATGAGAATAGCTCCTGCTAGTGTTAATATCCATATTTGCTTTGAAACAAACAAAAATTGCCTTAAATAAAAACAAAAAAACCCCCAACTCAGCTATGAAGAAGCAGCTATCAGCAGAAGTTCAATGAGGCCAACAAGAATAGAGCTACTCTTAATTACTATTTGACCTCATCTCCAAAGGACTGGTTTTCGTGTTGCTTTGTTTCTTTTTTTAAGAATTAAACCAACATCAGAAATCAACATAACATAGCACTTAACATTACAGTGCACATCAAAACAAGGCAGTGAAAATGACTGCCGGGGATTTACTTCTCCACAGAAAACTGAAAAGTAAACAAGTGAGTCACAACACTCCAGTTTAAGTTTCAGCTGCCACTGCTATCTTGGTAAAAGATGTAACCATCAGTTTTGCAGAAATCTACCACACCAGCTGAGAATCTGGTTTGTAATTTATCCAACTAAGGCAGAGCAATATAAAACCATTTTACAAAATGGTTTTTGTTCTATTTCCTATTCTGCAGTTGATTAAGAGCATACTAACTGATTGGAAAGTTTCTTAACAGTTTGGTTACATCTGTAAACTGATTTCTGTTTAATCTCATCTTCTGATGCTTTCGATCATGGCCTTTCACAACTCAGGATTTCCAACATGAGAAACATACAGCAGTGAGTACTGTTCATCCACTCATCATAATCCCCTTTTGAAAACCACATCTCTATTAATATATTGAGCTTCAAATGAGAAACAAGACAAAGACTTGTGCTCCCTTCTCCTGATCAAATTCAGGATCTGGAGAATCTGTTTGTCAAGGACCTTCAAGTGATCTCCTCTTCTGAGACTGGCACTATTTACAAATCTAAATTAGGTAGTGCCTGTTGCAGGCTGTAAGGTTGCTCAGCTCTAACACAAGATTATCCCTAATAACTGAATGTCCTTACATGGCTTTGTTCAGCCCGGTTTTATTCGTCTAAAGTGACAAGGTTTCCTCAAGCTCTGTAAATAATTCATGTATAAAGCTAAATCACTTGTGGTTTTTGAATCCTAGACACCAGTCTCTTATCTGTTTATGCTTTAAAAAAGGATATGGTATTATTTCCCTCCACCCAAAACTTTGAGCAGGTATATTCACTCACCTCCTGACAGCTGGGACTGGGTAGATGCACATCCACCAGTGACACCAGAGTATCAATTGTTTCCAGCTCCTGCTGGTAAAAGGTCTGAATTTTGTTTTCTAATAGAAAGCCTTGCACTTTCTCATGCAGCATATGGATTGAGAAATTCTGACCCTCCAGGCCACTACAAGGATACACAGAATACGTCAAAAGGCAAGAAATGGGTTTTAGAACAATTACCTAGAGTCAGCCCACTAGACTGATTTCAAAGGTCAAAAGATATTTTATTATTCTTAGAGAATTTTATTTTAAATTCTTAATTAAATAAAAATCTTTTTATATGCATAAACATTCAATTGTTCCTCTTCAATCATTTGCTGTAACAGTTTTGTGATTTTAAGATCTGCAGTCTCTGAAACCACACTACATGCATCAGACCTCCCAACAAGCATTCAGCTACTCTTAACTGAATACAGGAATGGATGTTTGATTCAGTTTATTGAGGCCATGTATTTGTGATTTGATGATGACAAGGGCAGCAGAGCATTTCAATGGAATAGCTCCTTATCCTTACATATAAAATAAAATCAGGAAGGGACACTTCTCCATCCTCTCTGCTGACCTCAGCCCCAAATCTTGCTCAAAATCCTATTTTATCTCACTAGATGCAAGAGGTCTATACACATTTTTTTACTACCTTCCTAATATTCACTTTGGTTGATCACATTTCACTTCTCAGATACCTGGACAGGTGTCTCATCTGTATGGATCATCAATAATTTGGGAGAAAAGCAAGCTGCTACTGTATGTTTATGCAGAGTCTAAATCAGAGTTGGGCCCTGTTCTATCTTTCTCTACAGTTATTACAATAACAAAAAAAGAATCATAAAATCCCACACTTTACCCCAAGACTAGTCTGGATACTGCATTTACCTCTGTCCTTCCTCAGGGCCTTGGAAAGGTTTATCATAAACTTCTCTATAGAGACAGGGGAGCTCCAGCATTCTTGAAATCTGAACATCATACAAAGGATCATCCACTTTATCTGGAGGAGCAAAAAGAACACACAGACTTGGCCAGGAGTGCTCTATCAATTTTTTTAAGCAAGCAAACCTGAGGCAGCACAACAGAGCTTCACAGCCAGTATTAAATTGGCAAATGTTGTTCACCATTGTTTTTACAAAAACAAAACCACAAAGGCTACTCCTTCTTTTACAGTTTACTAGGAGGTAAATGGTCTGTTGTGGTGCATTGCAGATTATGCTTTTGTCTGACAACTTATTTAACCAGAATTTATGATCTCCATTTTACCTTTCAACAGCCTTCATCCATTAAATGAAGTTAACACATAGCAAAGAGCTTTATTTGGGCCAAAGTGAGAGCAATTTAGAGACTATTTGATTGCATGGCTCTCTTTGGTGTTATTACCAGCACCTGAATGGGCTGTATATATTCATAAATCTTCTGTCTGGAAAAGAGCATTGAATTCCCTCGCAAATTTTAGCTAGAGCTGAAAAATCTAGACTTTTTATCTGAATTACAAGGGTTTTTAAAAGACAGGGTTCTCCCCACCAAAGAAATAATTCTAGTATTACCTCTGAAAGATTTCACTGGGGAAAACCAACTCTTACACAACAGCACAGATGCAGAACAGAGAAGAAGTTATGTAACTGGAAGCTCCCAGGGTGTAAACAGTAGACTGCAGAGCCCTGCTGCCCAAAGAGCTGTCAGATACAGAGGCAGCACCTGCATGCAGATCTGTGCCTGGGTGACTGAAGGTGACTGAGTCATCCTGCAGAGCCAGGGAGTTCAGGAGAACCCAGGCTTCAGTGGAACACTGCCCATATGCTGCTGCCTGCCCTTGGAATGGATGGTACAGGCTGCAAGAAACAGCAGACACTTCCCCAAAGCATAACTCCCTGGATGAAGTGGGACATGAGAGGTCACCAGCCCCTTTCCCATGGGCTTAGCTGGTCTGCTTCAACACAGAGCAAGTCACTCTCACAGATATCCAACCACAGTATCTGCACAGCATTCTTGTAAGCACGTTAATCATCTTTTATGGTTTTTCCAGGAATGCCTTATTTACAGGCAATCTAATCCCACACATTAAGTAGTGTGTCTTCTAACCTTACACTGCTAAAATTGAAATAAAGATACACAGATGAAAATCTCTTTAGAAAAATGAGATGCCAGAAAATAAAGTGGAAAATATTCAATTAATTACATACAGCTTAGACAGTTTCACAGATTCAGACAACTGAGTTACATAAGTCCCTGGTTCATAACACTCACAGAAACTTGAAGCCTGAATTTCTCTTTGTTGCCTATAGGTTCGGATGTGACCTCTGACCCTGACAACATCCCCGATCTCCAGCTTGGTTTTCTGGCTCACTGTTTCTTGGAGTTTCTTCATCTGTTCAAACACAATAAGACTGCTGGGTGTGCTTGGATGACCTGCAAGCAGTGAGGGAAAGGGGATCAGGCATTAAAGTCAAGAGGACTGTCCTTTTGCATTCATCCACCTATGTATCACGAGACCCAAAAAAGGATAAGGTCCCAGGCACCATGTGTCCTGGGTAGCAAAACTTTTTGGTGACAAAGTTAGTTTACAGTATTATATTTATTTAAATAGTTCACCTGGGGAAAGTACAGAAGGGAGGAGATTCGGATTTACCCCTGAAAAATGTCGTAGATGGGTTGCAAAATTGAATAATTAATGGGGTTTGTGGTTTTTTGATTTTGTCATGCTAAGAGGATGAGAGGGGAAAAGAAAGGTCTGCTGAATCTTTTATATAAAAGACAAATGAGTCATCTGAGGTGGGGCCAAACCATTCATGTGATGCAATTCAATGTCTACACTGCGGTGTAGCAACTTGACAGAACTTCATATTTACATAACTCATCTTTGCAGGACAGTAAATCCTTCATAACTTCAAACCTGATGAATGATCCAAGTATCTCTGATCACAATTACAAAAGGTTGGAAGAAAGTTTCCTGTGCCACCTAGGAACTTTTTTTAGCAGGTACAAATGAATTAAGTTTCCATTATTAACACAGTGTCCATCCAAACACTACTGATGTACTTGCAAAATAAGAACACAAAGCTGAAACAAGCATTCTGGGCTCTCATTCTATTTCAGGCAGTATTTCATGCAATTCCTTTTAATGAATTTAAGTTCCTCATAAAAAAATGATTTGAATGTGTCTCCCCTATTTTTTTAATTTTTTTTTTGGAGAGCTGTGCCAGAACATAATCGCTCTGTCTTCTAGATTCCAGTTGGGATTGTTTGTATCACTTGTCATATCATTGTTAAATATAAGTATGAATCATCTGTGTATGAATTACGGGCTTGTTCCACAGACATCAGAGTTTTTAACTTTTACATCCTTTCCTTTCTCCATTCTATGCATATGTATCTCTAACACTGCAGATGACACTAGTAACATTTATTTCAGTAGGATATGATCAGCTCCATATTAGGTTTGTCAGTCTACTACATGGGCTCCCAAAAAGATCCAAAGTAGAAAGCATTTCATACTTTGATCTATAAGAAACGGTGGGAGAAAAAGCAAAGAGAAAGTCAGAAACTATTGAGTTGTTCTGTTAGTGAGTGCAATAATAGATTAATTTCAAATGCACAATTACTGCACATTTAGGACTTTCCCAAATTGTAAAAGACTGCTGGCATCCTCCCACTGTGTTTTAAGCTACTTTCAAGTTCATCGCTGACAGTGTATGTGTGAGCAGGAGAATATGAATACAAAGGGAGGATTAATCCTGAAACCACTGTATCACAAGTGAAGGTCAATGGATTGACTTTGGAAACAGAAGTTGGGGAATATTTCCAGCCTAGTTTCTCACGAGATGAAGTCACAAAAAGAACTATAAGAAGAGAACTCGCTGAACAATGTCACAGCATAGAATTTAAATATCATATTACTCAGATAAGGAAAAGGCAGGGCAGGACATAATGTGATGGTTTTATTGGCCATTGAATACAACACAAAAACTAACACAAAATTCCTAAAATGGACCAGGTTGTAGGATGTAATGGTTTAAAATAAATAAAAAAAAATTGCATAGTTGAGTTTGCTCTTCTGCAAGTTTGATCACTTATGAAATTATGTAAGACAGACCTAGGAAAAAAGGCACCATCAAAAGAGGAATTATTTACTTGATAAATTACCTGATAAAGGTGTTTCTCCTACCATGGGATTTTTCCAGCAGATACAATTTATAACTCCAGTACTATCATCCACTGCAAAAAAAAATAAAAAAAATAAATCAAGAATTACAGAGTAGGAAAGCAGGTAGACACGTTCCGGGAAGTGAAGATACATAGATATGTAGGGAGATAACTGCCAAGGAAATCTCAGTCCAACCAGTTTGAAAGGGAAAGTGGGTGTCTAACCCCACTTATACCTCTGAAATAATTTCCCCAGTCATTTCAATCATGGAAGTAGCTCAGCACCAGATGTGTTTATGTGCATGGTCACCAAAGTAACAGGTATACTCTCAAGAAAAGATCAAGCACTAATTTAAATGATGAGGCTTCAACACATATATTGAATACTAAAGGGCTTTAATCTCATTGACAAGGTCAGAAGAAGAACCAGTGTTGAAAGCCAAAGTTAGACAAATTCAAACAGGAAACCAGGATTAAACCACAGAAGCATCTCTGTTACAGTGAGAAAACAGCATTCTAACATTGGGGGATACAACCATGTGAATAAACTAGAAGTGCTGCTGCACTGGTTTCCGTGCTAATGTTGTGTTCAAAGTCTGCTGGCCTTTCCTGTATAAGAAGATGTCTGAGGAGCAGAAAGGCAGCTCTTCTAACCAGGAAGGACAGAAGACAGCACATGCTCATGGTTCTGCTCTAGGCCAGGAATTCCCAACTTAAACTATAGGTAATGGTGGCATGCATGCCACTTCCGCTGCGGAAAAAGCTCAACACCTTTTCCCGAGCATGGGAGCTGTCTAGTTTTTCCTGTTTTGCCAGTAGCCAATCAAAATAAGTTTTATAATTTCTGCCCCAGGCACTGCATTGTCAATGACAGCAGAAAAAGACAAAACCCAAAGGAAACTAAAACCTATCAGAAGAATCAGTTGTACTACAGATCGAGAGACTGTATATAGGTGGCCTGTTCACCAAACACTCTCTAAATAGAAAGGAACTAAATGTCTGCCAAGGATCATCCAGCCAACGTTCCAAGCAACATTGCTTCTTGAATGTAACCATCTCCAATACTCAGATTCCACTCTTCACGAAAGGAAACCTGCAATTTTCTTCTGCTCCTTAAACCAGATCCATGATTAAAAAAGTAACAACAATGTTTACCAGGAAGGTGCTGATTGGTACCTGCAGTCACTTCCTTCAGAAACCATAGCATCAAAGCAAAATGCCTTTGCATTGTCTCATGTGTTTTGAAACAATCTCCCTATTTAGGGGGTCTAATTTCAAATCATTGTCTTGCCTTCCTGTTTCCCAGTAGTTTAGCTGCACATTACTATTAAAAGCATATAACATTTATAAGATGCAGGCAATTCCAAACTCCATCACAAAAGTATGTTCGTCTTTTCTATCCCTCTTTTGAGCTCCTGTGTCTGCAACTATTTCAGCAGCTTTAACTTTGTACCAGAGCACAGATAACGATCTAACTGGTAGGATTTCCTCTCTTGGTATAGAGAGACAGCAACTATTTTAGCAGTCAGAACCTACATAAACCATGCCAAAGCCATCCATGCAAGCCAGCAATGAGAAACAGGGCAGATGACATTTCACTATTACATTCCTGAAGCTTCTAGATGTTCCAAGAGCTCTTGACTGGCTGTTGCACCAAATGAAACACACTTCCTAAGAAGGGCTTGGAAACCAAGCAAACAAGACTGAAGGATTAGGAGGCCACACTCCTCCTCCTCAACATAACAGCTGAAATTGAAGTCCTGGAGAGACTGACCAGTATGTGACCATACAGAGAATCTGGTAGCAGAGCAAGGTGCTGAAATAAAGTCTGCCAGTTCATAAATAAAAGCTTTGAGCAAAAAGACAAGTAATTCCTGAAGCACAGATGAATGAGAACTCTTGCAATTGTATTCTAATTAGACAGGAGAATGTTAATCTATTTTAAATGCACTCAAAGGGTCTACAAGCTTTTGAAAACTTCCTGTGCTCCCTGTGCCGCCCTTCCTCATCTCTTTGGGTTTAAAGTTTTGTTTATTTGGTTTTTTGTAAGTTTGCCTTTTTTTTTTTCTTCCCTGTTTCTTGTCCGTTTGGATTTGGTTTTTTTGACTCTTACTTAACTATTTAAGGGGTAGCACTGTCAAAGCTACTTTAAACAAGATAATTGCATTCATTTGTATTACTTTATGACAAAAAGGGTATGGTTCTTGTAAGGCCTGCCAGAACCTACTGAGATCCTGGTAAGATTTTTTTTTCATTTGTTTTTAAGGCAAGTGCCTTTCATCCTTTCAATTAGGTTCTGGAGCATAAGGAAAACCACATGTGATGTTTGATTTTGTTAAAAAGGAAGGAGGGAGAAAAAGAGGTCAGAAAGGTGCATTAGCTAAAATATAAGCTTGGTCAAAGCTACATTTTAATTGGATATCCTCCTCCTAGCTGATCATAATAATAGCAATAAACAATCAAATCAAAATGTCAAAATCAGGTTTTAAAAAAATAAAAATTACATGCTGTGTCAGACAGGAAAGAGTCAGTTCACTCCCTTTTACAATTATTATTTTATCACCAGTTCTGGTTTACAGCAGAGAGGACCTAAGATTTTTTAAAGTGAGTAGTGTGTATTTTGAAGCAGACAGACAGGAAATGGGGGGGGCATAGTGGCAGTGACACAAAGACATTTCAGTTCCCTATCAGAGAAAAAGTACAAAGGGAGAATTGCTTTGTAAGTCACTTTTAAGCAGATGGAAAGTGAGCAAGCCTTGAGCAGTGTGTGGCATTCCAACTGATGCAATGCCTGATCCATGACTCACAAACTGGAGTCTTGAACTGAGAAATGCAAGAAGTTATAATCAGGAAACTGTCTAAGAAGTTAAAATTTTACACTGTTGGAGTCGGCCTGACTGAAAGGGAGGGCGGGCTGGGGAAGGGCACCTGGCAGGTAGCCTGAAAGCTCAAACCAGGAACTGCCGGAACAAAGCGTGGAGTTGGATGAGACAGGACAGCAGGAAGCAGGCTCACTGAGAGCTGCACTTAAAGGTTGGCTGATCTAACACTAAGGCCTCAATCCCAGTACTCCACAGTTTCTTTTTATTTCTATTCCTCTGTTTTCCGCCCCAGCCAAACATTTTCAACAGGATTACTTGTTAAACAGATGCTGAGGATAGCACCGAAAACTTTTGTCCACAGAATTGTTTTGCCTTGGTCATTTTGATTCCGTCTTCTCATGAAGTGATAACTGTATTTGCATACTAGTGCAATAAAAGAACAATAGCTGAAGTTCAGTTTACGTTTCAACACTTCATTACATCATCAATTACATCTCCACCTCTTAACTTAGGCATTTGTTTACCCTGTGCCATTTCAAGTGCCAGAGAATCTCGTTCATCAAAATATTTACTGACAACTTATTATTTAGCATAATGGCGAGATAATAACAAACATTCAGAAATTAGACTTAAAAAAACAAAATCTAGAAAATATTCACACTAAGACACTTGCAAGGAGAGCACAGAGTCAACTCTCAGCAGCTGCATCCTGTGCAGGGTATGTTGGATGCACTAGCAGCCAATGCTACTCTGCAGCAGTATGATGCAACTGCAGGTGTTGTGGAACCTGGGACCTGGTTAAGTTGCCACCTGTATCTTCACAACACTCCTGTGGGCCCAGGAAGTGCTGCTGACTCAATTTTATAAGCAAGGGAATTTGGAAGAAGAGGCACTCCATGACTTACCTCTGTCAGGTGGAAACCCGCGGCAGAGGAAGACACTGGGCACAAGGGCTTCAACAGGATCTGTGCATTTGCCTCCCCCTTCCTACTGAGAGGTCACTTCCCCCCACTTTTTGAAACTTGCCACATCACCACTACTCCACTCTGGTTTTTTTTTCCAGATGAAAAAGACAGCTGAACAAAATGACAATCAGATGTTTCCATGTTAATAAAACTGTCTGAATGCTGGGAAAAGCAATAGGGAGGAGACAACTCCCAGCTGGTGTTGGCAAGGACTGGTACTATGATGCTTGAGTTAGATTTGCTAAGACTCTTGTGCATCTAAACATAAACAAGCTCCTGACTGCTATTAAAAAGCTATTAAAAGCCGCCTCCAAGATATGACAAAACATACAAGAAGTCAGAAGGGATTTCTAAGGTTCAAAAGAGGAAGAAGTGATTTCCCATTTGCAGGCACTGTTAAATCTGTTTGTCCCTGACCAAAGGAACTCCATATATATGAGAGAAAGGTGGTGGAGTCCAGTGACAAAGCAACAATCAAAATTAGGATTTGCTATATGACCCCAAATGAACCAGTTACTCTGTTGTAACTATTTGATTCTCTACTTTTGAAGTGAAGATAAACAGTAGTTTCCCTAAATTTGCCAAGTAATCTGATATACGTTGTATTAGGATAAGAGCACAGTTGTTTCAAGAACAGACAATGATCAAATAAGGAAGCCTTTCAGTTCCAACAGTAACTAAGATTAGAAGGCTGATAACTGCAAGAAGAAAGAAAGAAACTTTCCTTACCTCCATAATTATAAAAGGCATCTCTCTCCTTCGTTTGAACCACTGTCCCGACAACATCCACTTGTCTTACTGGATGTCCATTATAAAAGAATATACCTAGACATAGAACATGATTAGTGTAACTATTTCTTTCAAGATCCTACCCTACACATTCACATTTATCAGTAAAAAACATAATTTCTTACATATTTAATAAATCTGAAATTATACAATGCCTACACAGGAAAAATTCCCTGGACACTGAAGACTAGGAACACTAAAAGGAAAAAGTATCAGTTCCACTTGGGATACCAAAAGCTTGCTTTTATAGAGTGTCAAAACTTCATTAACCTCATTTTCTTGCACATTTGGATCTGAAAAACAGCTGCAGGCACTAGGGTTTTTTTAATTTCTTGTTTTGTTGTTTCATTTGGGTTTTTGTTTTGTTTTGCTTTGTTGTTTGTTTGTTGGTTTTGAATTTTTTTTTATATCTTCATCAGGCTTCAGAATAAATAATAGAACACAAAGGAAGCACTTTGAGCTTCTCACAATGCAGCTGTTCCTGATTAAGGCAGAGCCTCTGAAAGGAAAACTAACATAATTCTGTCTTTCATTTCTAGAAGAACAGGAGCCATGGGGGCAGGGTGAGAGCAACAACCCTCTCAGATTGAGGAGTACACTACTGCAGTCATTGTGGACTGCATCCTGAACTTCAGTTTCTGAAAAAAAAACACATTCTAAAAACATCCCTTCAAAGCTATTTTTGTGCATCTATAAAGATAACTTGAATAACACATAGAAACGTGTCCAGGAAACAGTGAGAAATCAGAGCCCAGTGGACTCTGACAGCACTGAGGTTGCCTCATTCTGTAATCCCTTTCAAGAGAATGACAAATGTTGTTAACAAACATCAATGTAAACATTATACACTGAGGCTTCACAGTGCACTATCAGGAGAATGATAGGGCAATAAGCTCCAAATATACCCTGGGCTGGCTAGTTTTCAGTGCATGTGTTTTCTCCAGCTTTTGAATACTGCTGCTTTACCGAAGTATGCCATCTGGGATGTTCAATAACTGTCTTCTGAAAACTAGATAACTCAAGGGACTCGAAAGGGAACATTTGGCTCTATACACTGTGGCAAGTGTTATTCTTACAAAGGGAAAGAGAAGCAAGGCAGCAAGGGAGTCAGAAAAAAGTCCTGTATAAAAAAAAACAAGCCAAAACCAAAATCCAAAAATAACTTGTCCTACATAGCTAACAGCCTTAAGTGAGCCTGAAATTAACTTTCTTCATGCAAGATAGAGAGAAAATCCAAAAGCTTTAGAAGAAATAATAAGTGATCAGCCAAGCAGATCATAAACACAAGTTTTGCACATGAAAATCCATTGCAATGTTTTGAGGATGCATTTATCACTCTCATTGTAGATTTGGCTGTACTAATCATGCAGTCAGTGGTCAGGTCTGGCATAGAAAATGTTTGGCAGGTCTGTCCACTTTCCTCTCATTTACCAGGACACTGTTATAGAAACCCTCAATGGAGATGCTCCCCGTGTACATAGTTATTCATTCAATCTTACAACATCTCAATAAAAGGTCTGGGCTGGTTTCAGGGTAAGTCTGTAGAGCAGAGACTCCAAGCTCCTGATTATGCAAACAAGCAACATGTTATTATGTTCATTTCCCAGTTAGTAAGCTGAGTTTTAGCAAATGACAGAGACTGAATAAAACTCTCCATCCCCATAAATTCACATAGAACTCCACCCTTACTCTCCAAGAAACTACTCAAATTAATTTGAAAGACGAAATCATATTTAACCTATTAAAAGCTGTTGGACTTGATGACTTCGAGGTATAAATTGTTTCTCCTGCCAGCTTATTTGTTCAAATTACGCCCATATTGGTAGCAATAAAAATATACTAAACATTTGAAGCTACGGACAAACATGTTCTTTGAGGCTCCTAATAACCCAGTAAACAACACATACAGCACTAGGCTCTTACCACAACAGGAAGCCACAGCAAGGGTACAAGGGCCTATAGATACAGAGCTCTCTAGAGCAGGTGCTGTTCACGTCTTTACCAGCATTACTGAGCACTGAGCTGTTTGACATTGCTTTAATTATTATTACCTCCTTTTATGCTATTTGTAGCTTCCCTCTCCTGTTGATAAGCTGTCACAATGCAGTAGTGCATGATAACTCTGAGAAAAGCTTATTTCCATGATGTGATTATGTGTTACAACTGAGTTTAACACCCACTCTCATTGCAAGGCCTCTAAGACAACACAATCGCTGTTTTTATCTGGGAGGTTTTCCAGCCTTCTTGTCACCATTTATAGCAGGAGAGTAATTGGCCAGGCTTACTGCTTTCCTCCGTGTTGTTTTACGGCATTAGTCATAAAGGCATCAAATCCTAATGCTTAAAAATGGAAAGAAAAAACTCATTAGGTCATTTAGTCCGTTTCCTCAGGGCCAATACAAGACCATTTCATGGCAATCTGTACAGTCAGGATATAAACAATCCCAGTGAAGGGTATCCCACCTTTTTCCTGGGAAGGCCGCTCCATGGTTTAGCAGATGTCATTCTAAGGATGTTTTTCCTGACATTCAGTCTGTATTTCTTTCCATTCCTCCTAGTTGCAACTCTTTGTTTTGCAGTCATTCATTCTTAATTACCATTACTTAATGACTGATTTATAGCCAATCATATACTTAGCTTCAGCTGGTCTTTAAAAGCCCATTAAAGGCAGGAAACACTGACAACAAACACCTACGTTCTTCCTTCCCCAAAATATTTTTTTTTTTTAGTGTTTCTGTTGTGCTATCATTTGTTGCTAATAAATAAGACATGCTGAAGGGTATCTGGTTTGGTATATACACAGCACCAGGAGAATTAAAAAAAAATCAGGATGTTTGTTCTGTGAAATTTTATCTTATTCTTTAAAGTTTGGTTTAGAAAATTATACAGGATTGCAAGCAAGCTTAGATGTGCAGAATGCCAGGTGCACAGGAAGTGGAGAAAGCTCACATGCACCAACTGTAAAGGCTGGTATCTTGACATAACAGATACCACTTCCTTAGGATCATCTTAGGGGAAAAGAGAAAACAAAACTGGAAGAGTTTCTGAAGCAGAAGCCAACTCACTTAAGTAAAAGAACAGGAAGGGAAGTGAGAAGGGAAATTCAGGTAATTTAGAGGTAAAAAAAGAGAGTAGTATTGTATTTTTGAGGACTGTTCTTGCTATCATGAAATGTTCATTGGTGTTTATAAGGTTAATTATTCTAAATACATTTTTACATGTGTATGTACAATTGTCCAAGTCCAAACCACGATCCTATTCTGCTGACATTTATGTTTTGTATTTTGTTTGAAAACAATCAGAATATCTCTAATTGAAGCAGAACAGTTTTTACCAGATGCACTTGCTACACCAGTACTACTATAAGACTGTTATAAGACAGTTTAAAAAGGCCTCTAAATAGTACTCACTGTAAGACAAACATCAACAGCCTGTAGCCTAATTCATACAATAGATTTAAGACAAAAGTCTTCCACCATGAGACTGACAAAGATATAGATAGATAGACAGATAGACAGGCAGACAGATACATATATACATACATATATATATACTGGGGTTTGCAGTTTGTGAAGTCCTATGTACATAAAAATGGCTGCAAGAAGAGCAAAAAAAACCACCAGTCCTTCACTTCTGCAAAAATAGCAGTGCTGCTATCCTTGCTGTTAAAGAAAACTAAAGAAGAATAACAAACCCTACAAGGCAGAGCATATTCAAAAGGAGACAAACAGATGTACCTTGTCTCTGTGGACAGAAAAAATACAAAGAAAAAACACAAACAAAACATGAAAACCAAACCAAAGACACATACTCTGCTTAGGGTTTATTGCCTTTTCCTCATTAATTCTAAGTTCTTTGTGTTTCTCCCTGATAATCTTGCACCTTGTCAAGGTTCAGTTTGGAGTAATGAACCCTTCTACAGTAGAAAACATACTGAGGTCTACTTAAAGTCTTTGCAGTGAAAACAGAAATTCAAGATCGGACCCACGTTACTTCAGACAACGTTCACATGTGGGTGACGCCGGCGAAGACCAGCAGGAAACAGACTGCAAAGCAGACAACTGCCAACAATGGCTTGGAAATAAATGGTGTGGTACAAGATCCAGCACAGAGGTCAGAATTTACAATACAGCTGTTCAAACGTAGGAAGAATGTCATGTATCAATCATATCTAGCAATAAAGCAAACAAAACCTCAAAAACTGTTTCTGTTTTAGAAGACATTAATATCCACAGGAAAGCACAACATACACACGCAGAGCAATGTCATCAATTGTCAAAATTTTGCAACAAAGAGCTATAAAATCCTTCTCAAATGTTGTAGAGATGGTGGAAAGATATAACACATACAGCCAGAAAGGACCAGGATTTTTTAAAATTAACTTTACCAGAATATAACAAGCACTGCCACATAAAGGAAACACAACATTACCTTAGTGTACCTAAGAGATTCTTGATCCATATATGAGAAAGAAAAGCCATTGTAATGAAAACATTTTATTTTTCACATATATTTCGCATACAAGCTGTTGTTCTTAGAACTGTTAAAGGATACCAACGTCACTTAGCTTAAGGGTATGGAAAACTACTGATGTTCATGAAGCATTCTGCAATCCTTTGATAAAAAGCACAGAATAAATCAATTATAATACTGTGTGCATCATAACCAGCACGTATAAATACATACCTGGCACCTGTTTAGATTCTCTCATTTCTTTTATATCTTTAATATAGAGTCTTGCAAATGCAGAAAATACAGGATCCATCCCCCAGTGTAGAGAAGGTGTCTCTTCCTCATACTTCTTGGATTCAGAATGCATTCAAAACCTGTGAACACAGAAGGACTTGTAATTGTTTTCTACAGGTAAAGGGCTGTTCACATATGTTCCAACTAAATAAAAAACAGCTCATGAATTTACACACAATAACACATAAGAGCTGATGATGAGACACAGGAGTTTATCTAATACATTATATTTATTTATCAATATTCCATGTGTCACTACATGAAGTATTCAAAGTATCAATACTCATGATTTGTTTGAAATACTGAGAATCAACAGCAACAATATTTTCCCCAGTTCCTTCAAATGAAACAGAATTTCAGGGATTTTTCCCCTATGAATCCACAGACAGAGAACCAAAGACAACATTTCTTTAAAACAGCAGGATTGTGGGATACTAATTGGTTACTTCCTCTGCATGTGATTATTATTCCCTCCATCATTCTCTTTTCCTCCCATAACATATTCTTCTCATTGTTCATCCTGTGCTTTATTGTGGAGGTGGGGGAGGATGACCTTATATAAAACAAAAGCAGCCAACCCTTCTTTATTTTGGACACGTAGTCTCCATTAACTTTGAAATTGTTATTTTCCCCTTTTACCTCTTCAGATTTTGCTGTTTAATGGCTGCTATCTTCTGCCATTACCAGATCCAGCTCTCTGCTTATCATTGTGCTGATGTCAAAAGCCCAGCAATCGATTCAGGAAGGGTCCTCATGAAGATTGGGAAGCTGAAAATACTTTCTATTAGCTCCTCCTGTATGGATAGCTAAATTGTTCCCCTAAAGCTCTCCAGGTCACTCTTGAATGGGTGTCAGCCCCTTTCAGCTCTTGGGCAAAGTTTACAAGTGGACTCATTTTGAATAGTGTGTAATAGGGATGAGATTTGGCAGCTATACTCTCCTGAGAGGGAGCAGCTCCCAATTATGGGTGGCCAGTGATCTGTGCAGTCTGCAGGAGACACATCTGGCTACTGATGTAGAGGCAACATGCCATGAATATCACAGTAGCATCTTGCTTCTTTGAGAAACTACAGAGCTTGATTCTGCATAATTTCTCTTTTAATGCTTAAACTTCAATTTAAGGGGAGAAAAAACCAGCGTAGCACAACATGGCAGAGTGTGCTGACATCTACACTATAGCATGTAAAGAACTGCAGATGACAATTAGATTCCTTTCCAACTTTTATTTTATATAAATAACAAAAGGTTAGTGTTATTTTGACCCTCCTTAGACTGGTCATTAAATTTATGAGACGTTGAAAATAATTGATTTAGTCAGTTCCACCAGTCACTTCACCACCGAAGAACAAACTAAGCAGTTTTCTTTACACGTGGATCTATATCTCTATCCCCACTACAAACAGCTCTTCCCAACCTTTCTGTTCTGCACCTGCAAGGAATACTCAGAAACATCTCACCATCCTTTTTTTACTGAAGTCTCCCCACAAAGCATTCTTTTTCTGCTGCTGAATTGCAGACACTGCTCAACAGAAATTTATAAACTAAGCTGTTAAGTGTATGATCTTAACACAAGCTGCTATTCCTCCATTTGGCAGTTCTTTGGTTACTTGCTACAGACTATGTCAAATTTAGACCATAAAGTTTCCCAAGCAAAGAAATGGTTTCAACCTGTATTCTACTTAGCATGATCATTGTCTTAACAAAATTAGTCTCCTCATCTCTCTCTTTTTGTTTGCTGTCTCTAGGACAAAGTAATATTCCTTTCCGCACCATGCCCCCCAGTTTACTCTGCATGGCTGCAAAGCTTGTCATAGTTCAGCACTCATGTTTTCTCCTAGACAGACATCAGACTGAGTTAACATGCCAAAGAGAGACAATCAGGTAACAAGTCTGTCTAACCTTTTCTATTTTGGGTAGGCAGCAACTCACTGGGGCAAAAAGCAGAAGTCACACCTGCACATGTGTGTGTCTGAGGGGAAATCAATGAAGCAACTCCACTGGATATTAAAAATATCTGCATTTTGGTATTTCAGTAAACAGTTGTCAAGCCTGAAATGCCCAAATGTTAACAGATCAAGTTCAAACGATGCTTTTAGCTTAAATGGAGCATCTCCATAACTTTTTTTTATGGCTTCCCTTTTCTGAAGGGAGAAAGATTTCTGCAGCAAAAGCTCTTTCTATCTCAGAAACTACTGAGGGTCAAATCTCAAGTTGTGGAGATTGCTTCTCACTCCTAGGCCAGGTTACAGCTCTTCACAGGAGACATTTACACCCATCACATCTGTCTTCACGTACAGACCACTCTGCTTAGTTCAAGTCTGCTACAGACACACAGTTTTATCTTACAGATCTGGAAAAGATTCTTTGACAAAAAGTAAATCGTGCCCCAGCACTATGAAGGCAACACAAGATTCCTTGAAGTCCACAGGACAAATTTGGTGAAGTCCTGAGTTACAGACATTCCATCCACACCAGGCTGGGACAGTGAAACCTTATTCCAGCCACCCACTCACCATCAGCAATGTCTGACAGGCACATGAAGGGTGTTATGCAGGGCAGTCTCCTCTGGCCTCTTCATGGTCCCAACAGCACTCCCAACCCCTGCCACCACCCAAAACCAAGACTATTCTTTCTTCTCTCCCAAGCAGCCACTTGGTAGCTACATTTGCACAGTGACCTATTTAAAGCCAAAGCTTGTGGTCAGTTGGAAGGAAAAGCTATTTACTGCCTCCTGGATGTACTGCTTGCCTCCACACTCTCCTATTACCAGTCTATTCTTCTTGGCAGTTGTCTGTTTGCTCCTATAGCAAAGGAGGATATTAACCATCTCCAGTATCTATTGTTCAGTGAGTCCAAGCTTGTTTCAGGCAGATGGAGAGTATTAGAAAACATAATTCCTCCAAGGCAGACAGAATTCTTCCAATCAGTTTATCTTTTGATACATAACAGTATCTTCCTGTAACTTTTTCTTAAGTTGGCACAGGAAGCCTCTCCATCCCAGGCAGAATGCGCCAGGGGTTAATTAATGAGTCATCCTGGCAAAAGCAGAACTTTCCATTATGCTGGAAGTATTTTCAGCTCTTAACTGGTACCATTGGTGATATGCTATCAGCAAGGAAGATAAGAGCTGCCTGTTCAATGAAGATCCAAAGGGCAAATAGCCTGCATTGTGGAGATGCACGGCATTATAATCAATGAGAGCAC